ATTTCGTACAGTACAAAAAGTTTTCTCTAATACCGACTGTAACTGTCATTTGACAGTAATGGTAGTGTGCGCGCGCCGATTCCCGCGAAATTTATCCAAAATCTTATCAGGTAAGTTAAGAAGCCTGCTTTGTCTGCTAAGTATAATTAGCTTAAAAAAACGCATGAACAATTTGCTATTACTGATATCTTATAGTATAAAAGTAGTGTTGTCAATGTTGGTCTTAAAACTACCATTAACGTTTATATTTTTCTTAAAACAGTATGTGTCAGATATAGGAACAGAAAAAGTCTACATTTCGTAAAGCTGACATAAAGTGTCATACTTACGAACTCAGTTTTTCAGGTGTGCGTATATCTGACATGCCTGTACTTTATTGGTAATATATTTGTAAAAAACATAAAATGTTATTATCATTCAGAATGGCAATGCGAAAAAATCTGAAATACAGTGAAGACTCAATGAGGCAAGCCCTCCATGACGTTAAATCCGGAATGCCTGTTGCTAGGGCAGCAAAAAAATATAATGTTCCGAGAATTACTCTGTATTATAAAAAAATGGGAAAATATCCAGAAGACAGAAGAATCGGTGCCCCAACAGTTTTAACTGTTGCAGAAGAACAAGCGCTTGTTAAGTGGTGTTTCTTTTTGAGTGATAGGGGATTTCCCGTCACCAAGAACCAGTTACTTGACAGCGTCCAGCTGCTAATAAAAACAATGAAAAGACCCAACCCATTCCAAAATAATCGCCCAGGGAGACACTGGTACGAATTATTTTTGAAAAGGCACCCAAGAGTATCTTCCCGAACGCCTCAAAATTTGACCAGTAGCAGAACGAATGTCACCGAAGAAAATATTAGACACTGGTTCATCGAAATCACAGAATATTTTATTCAGAATGATTTAATGGATGCAATGAGCGATCCCACACGGGTGTACAACGCTGACGAAACAGCATTTTTTTTATCTCCGAAAGGATCAAGAGTTTTGGTCCGAAAAGGGCAAAAATCAGTATACAGTTTTGTGGCTAATGACGAAAAGGAGTGTTTAATTTCTTTAATAAATGGTAAGTTTGGGGGAAAACTAAAATATATTTTGTGCACTTCTTTGTTTTCTAGCTAATGCAGCTGGTAAACTTGCTCCTCCCATGATTTTATTTTCTTATGAAAGAATACCTGCTGCAATTTCATCTTTAATGCCAACAAATTTTAGTATCGGCAAATCAGAAAGTGGTTGGATGACGGGGGAAACTTTCTATGAATATGTCACAAACATATTCTACCCATGGCTTGTCGAAAACAACATTAAATTCCCAATCGTATTTTTTGTAGATGGTCATGTGTCACATTTAACATTATCTTTAAGCAATTTTTGTAAAGAAAAAAAAATTGAACTTGTTGCCCTTTATCCAAATGCAACGCATTTATTACAACCTATGGACGTTGCTGTTTTTCATACATTAAAACAAACATGGAAAACTTCAGTCCACAACTGGAGAGTCTCACATTCTTATGAAAAAATTAAACGTGAAGATTTTGCACCTTTACTTCATGAAACTCTAAAGAAGACATGTTTAGTGGAGACTATTCAAAATGGATTTAAACGGTGTGGCTTATATCCTCTAAATCCTGATGCTGTGGATTATACGAAAATTAAAAATGTATCAGATATTAGTAAACAGAGTGATGATAATTTAAATAATGGCAACCTCGACGGTTATGATGTCAACGGTTGTCTCCAAATTATTGAAAAAATAATTGGATCTGAAAAAACTCTAGAATTTAAGAGCTTGGCTTCAAAAGAATGGAATGGAAACATTGAAGATGCTTCTTTATACCGGTTGTGGATGTCACTAAATGATAGCCTCGTAGGAGATGTTGCTGAAGAAAGAAATCTCCAAGAATCAAATGAACAAAACTTGCAGGATAGATTCCAAACAGATGCTCAAAGCTTGGAAGGGTATGGAAGTCCAAAAACGGATGAGCAGTTACTTTTAGAAGCGGAGCAAATGGAAAATTTTATCGATAATTTGGAAATTCCTAAGGATCTACCAACTTCGTCAAATTGTTTAGATGTTCCTTCTCCGTTTAAACAATGTTTATTTTGGCCTGCTACACCAAAAAAAAAAGATGGGAAACGTAAACCAAAAGAAAAAATCCCATCCGTCGCAACATCATTTCAATGGCAAGAATATCATAAGAAAAAGAATGCAGAAAAGAAGAGGAAAGAAGATGAAAAACTAGAACGAAAGAGAAAAAGAGAAGAAAAAGCATATTAAAAGAAGGCAGTAAGAACCAAAGAAAAACGGGAAAATTAAGTCCAGACCAACAAGATTCCGAAGAAAATACAAGCCAATGCCTAGATACTTTAAATATTGGTGACTACGTCGTTGTAGAGTATAATAAAAAATACTTTCCAGGTTTAATATTAAATGTTGACGAAGGAAACTTGTCCAAATACCACGATGACGATTTGTACAATTTCCAAATTTCAGCAATGGAAAAAAGCGGATGTTCTGGATGGCGATGGCCCAAAAGAAAAGATGTTTTGTGGTATAAATTAGAGGATATAAAACAGTCCATTTCTAAGCCAGTATTAATTAATAATAATAAGAGAGGGCTTTTTGCAATCCCAGAAATGGATAAATATATTTAAAGATTACCATGTTATTAATGGATTAAGTCCAAATTATTTTCATCAAGTTATTTGCAAGTTTTGTATTTTTTGAGTTATTAAAAAAGTACCATATTGAAATAATTGTTTTTTTTTTTATTAAAAGTGCTATGTCAGCATTAGGCACATATGAATTCAGTTTTAGGCGCATTGTCGGTAGGTGGGTGTCAGCTTTCGAGACATTAGCAAACTAAACTTGATGTTAAGTTTTTATTAATATTTTAGACTTTTTTAGATAAATATATGTATACCCTATTTTCTAAAGCTTATAAAAATGTAAGTACACGTCGTTTTTATGCTGGGTCAATATATTAAGTACTTTGTCCTCATTTAAACACTCACTATTTCTAATTGTGTCAGCTTTTGGTACAATTACCTTACCTCTGAAGAACCAAAAAATATGAACTGGAAAAGCAAGACACGATTAATTATAATTCAAAAAATGTTAGGTTTCGCAGTTCTAATAGTGACACAACCACACAAGAGAACGAAGATCCAAGAAAAGTATAGAGAGTAAATGCGCATCTGTTGAAGACAATGGGTAGGGATATATGATTGAAACGGCTTGATTGTTTTTCGCGGAATTCTTGGCAGTAGCAAGAATTGCCGGAAATTTATAATCTGAACCTAAAAACTTAATGAAACAGCTTCATTGCTTTTTGAGGAATTCTGGAAAAGCAGCAAAAAATACCGGAAATTTTAAATTTAGAAACAGAAATATAAAAAAAAAATTTCAAAAATCCATTTTTCTTTAAATGCGGGACATTTTCCGGGACGATAATAATCCGGGATTGCATGTCTAAAAACGGGACAGTCCCGCGCAATCCGGGACGAATGGTCACTTTAATGTATTTACAAATACAATATGCGGTCAAGGATAATTCGGCGCGGTCGACTTGGCGCGAGACATTTTGGCGCAAAGCCAACTTGGCGCAGGGACACTTTGGCGCAAGCCATCTTGACGCGGGCCATTTTGCAGCGTAAAGTCACTAGATATATAAAGTACCGCAATCATCCGCCATTTTCGGGCAAAACTACCCGCCAATTTTAAAATTTTGCAATTTTAAATGCTATCCAATTTAAAAACAGTAAGAATCCAACTTGAAATTGGGCTCTACAGCATTTCCAATTGTATTCTAGAGAAAAGATGAAGTTGATTTCAGATAATAGTTATAACTTGTAATTTAGATTAATCAGTTCTATTTCAGAAAGCATCAACTGAAATTCAGATTAACTAATAGTTCTATTTCAGAAACCGTCAGTTGAAATTCAGATTGCATCAAATGTAATTAATATAATTGTTAGCCATTCCCATTTTCATCAGAACAGGGTCTACCATTTCATAACAATAATTGATTTCTATCATGTTTCTAGGCATAGTTATTTCTTATTTACATTTATTACAACTGTGAATTTATGAAAAATGAATTTGATTAATAAATAGTGCGGTTTTGGTATTGGAAAAAGATTACGGTGAGACATTAAACATTATATAGAAAGTATTTTTTATATATTTACATATATATACATATATATATTTCTCACCACTTGGTAAACAAAATAATCTTATACCCGTTGCACTATTGCTTTTATATCCCAATATATAACAACCAGACATTTTTATAAAGTAGATAACCAATTTTTTAATGAGATTTATTCATCAAACCACCTAACAACTACCTAACTACGTCAAATTCGTCGACGATACCTGACATTTTACAAATCAGCTGACATATCGCCGCCATTTTTGGGCAAAAATCGTACCATCTCTTTTCAACACATTGGTACAATGGATTGCGGTACTTTATATATCTAGTGACTTTATTGCAGCGGATGAACCAACGCCACCTAGGTGGAACTCGCACCAAGAAAAATAGATATAAATATACAAAAATTGCAGCCGTTGTTAGCATAACCTAATTTTTATAGTCACCAACGCGTGGAGGGGTAATGTCGACTTTTTAATGGACACACGGGCGCTTCGCGCCCTGCAGTAACGAAACTTCAGCAATATTTGCGGAACGGGTGTGACCTTGGGAGCCCGTTCCCGGGAAACACGAATATTCAAATATTTCGTAGCATTCGTATGTGATTCATATAATACTAATAATTGTACACAAAAATAAAAATGGTTGGCATGTACTAGTGACATTGACCATTTTTTTTTTTCTTATAAATTATTAATATATTCAAGCAAAACATTTTTATTCAATTTTGACGTTTTAAACTATTAGCGTAGGGAAATAATGGAGCATACACCACAAACTTAAAACATATATTTAATTATGTAAAACAGAAACAAGTAACTAAGCCCGCTCGGAACCATGGTCTCGTTATTATTGATACATATTTCGCGCCTTCCGATTTGCGGAGCGCCTTTGCTCGTCATCGGGTAGATGGTGGAGACTTCCGAAAGTAGCCGACAATTTGGCGGGCAAATCGAGTATTTGTAACAGTCGGCCACGCTACAGTTAGTCTGCGTCCTCGCAGACCACGTACAGTGTTTGCTTACTGTGAACAAATCGTGTATTAGTGCTTTAGCCAATACGGATAAATTAGGCTTGTGTTAGTATAGGAAAGGATAATCTCATCGGCAAACAATATCGCCTTATAACCATCTACCTATCATGGTTGTTTCATTTGGAGGCAAACATTATAACCTCAGGCAAACATGATTGCCTTGCAACCATTTACCTAACATAGTTGCTGCATGTGCAGGCAAACATTATCACCTCAGGCAAACATTACTGCCTGGCAACCATTTACCTAACATAGTTGCTTCATGTGAAGGCAAACATTATCGCCTCAGGCAACCATTATTGCCTTGCAACCATTTACTTAACATAGTTGCTTCATGTGAAGGCAAACATTATCACCTCAGGCAACCATTATTGCCTTCCAACCATTTACCTAACATAGTTGCTGCATGTGCAGGCAAACATTAACACCTCAGGCAAACATTATTACCTTACAACCATTTACCTAACATAGTTGCTGCATGTGCAGGCAAACATTATTGCCTGGCAACCATTTACCTAACATAGTTGCTTCATGTGAAGGCAAACATTATTGCCTTGCAACCATTTACCTAACATAGTTGCTGCATGTGAAGGCAAACATTATCACCTTAGGCAAACGTTATTGCCTTGCAACCATTTACCTAACATAGTTGCTCTCTTGAATCATTCTTAGTTCGTGTGATAGCGCTATCATTCTCCTCCTCATTTGATTCCTCACTCGTTTCATCACTTGAAACCTTCGTAGAGAAAGGTTTCATATGATCTAGAGCAGAGACCCCCTTCTGACAGATCGATATGACCCAGGTAAGTCCTCAATACAATACCTGTCATGAGGCAAAACTTTTGTCACCACATAAGGTCCACTACATTTGGCCAATGTCTTTTTACTCTTCCCGTCATTTCTAGCAACTTTCTTACGTATGAGAACTTGCTCACCTACTTCGTATGTCTTTGGTCGCGTACGCCTTTTATCATACCTCTCTTTTTGCTTCACTTGTTCGTTTACAATTCTTTCACAAGCTTCTTTTCTTTTTTCCTCTAACGTGTCGGCAGCAGATGGTGTCACATCAACCGCATTTTGGAGATATGCATCGTATGGCGCTCTAGATGTATACCCAAAGAACAGTTCATAGGGACTCTTCCCTGTTGTAGCATTAATTGAACTATTCATAGCGTATCGTGTTTGAGACACCATTTCGTCCCACCTCTCTTCATCACGTAACGATGCTGTGAGAGTGTTTAATATGGTGGAATTATACCTTTCCACTTGCCCATTGGCTCGTGGTGTGGCTGTTGCATTGTAAACAGTCTTAATACCAACCTTTTTGGTGAAATCAACAAACTTTTTACTAATAAAAGCTGAACCTTTGTCGCAAATGATTCTTCTGGGTACCCAACCCATTCAAAAATTTCGTTTAAGAATTTTAATACTGGCTTTACTTTTGCACTCTGCACAGGTTTCATAAAAGTGAAGTTGGTGAAAGCATCCACACCCACGATAAGGTAAGAATTTCGTTTCCGACTCTTCACAAATGGTCCTAAATGATCTAAATGAAGTGTATTCATTGGTTCATTACCTTTATTTATGGGATGCAAATATCCTGCCTGTTTTCCTGTTACATTTTTATTATACAAATAACCCAAACACAACTAACGTATTTTTTTACATATCTTCTCATGCTGGGAAACCAATGACATTGATTAAGAAATTTCAATGTTCGTTCGGTGCCAAAATGTCCCTTTTCGTCATGATTTTGAAACACAACTTGCCGTCTTGCATGTCGAGGAACTACCCATTTTGACTCTGGAGATAGCTTTCGATAGACTCTATTATCGATCAGTTCATATTCTTCTTGAATTTGTTTCTCATCTTTATCTAAAGCTTCTCGTTGCAATACTTCGTTAATGTAACGGCAACGATCATCTTGCAACTGAGTTGCTAAAATCCAGTCATCAGAGGAGATTCCCACCAATAATATGTTGTGGGTGTCGCAGGAAGCGTTATCCGATCCAGTTGATTCAACTGGATTTTTGCTAAGGGCATCCGCATGAGCCATCTTTGTTCCTGGGCGGAACTCTACTTCAAAATCGTATTCAAGTGTACCCAACCACCATCTACCAATACGCGGTATAAGATCGCGTTTGACCAACGTGGTTCTGAGAGCATTACAGTCAGTAACAACTTTGAAATGTGATCCTAATAAATAAGGTCTATACGTAACAGGCTTATCATCTTTTAAATCGATATGCATTTCTATGGTAGGACACTTCCCTAACTCCTTTGTCTTAGTAGCAAAACAATCTCGATACTCATTGAGTAGGTTCAACAATTGTTGTTTCTCTTCCTTAAGCATCTGATCTGGGACTTGTGGCTCTATGTCTGTCACACTGAACATGGCAGCGTCTGAACTGATTATTTTTAAAACCCTTGGTTCATCCGGAACAAGTTCTTGACAACACATATCTCCTCGAGCTATTACTTGTGACGGCGTATACGTCACTGGACGATTTGAGATATTCATTACCGAAATAACACCCATCGGTGCTGTTAAAACGCACTGTGTTATTAAATGTTCATTATTCGGGACGTTTCGCAGTCGAGTTTCGATAAAAAGTTCCCCTGAGCAATTATCTCGACAAGAAACGTTCACATAACCAACATGGTAAGGAGGAATAACCACGTTGTTGTTAGGATAAAGTGTTACTTTTCTTGAAGGCAACGAACTGAGTTCAGACATACTGACGTCAGCATCTTCCATAAGTCTAACTTGATTTTTCGTAATAATCATAACTTTATTTTTATGAATGAACTCCTGACCTATCAAAACTGGTACGTTTTGCACAGCGTTTTGTAGGACTAGGGCTTCTACATCGGCCTCCGCTAGATCCACCTTCGGATGAAAGTTCGTTTTACCGATGGACATCGTTTGCCCATTTCCATATCCCCGTATAACGGACGAACATGGTCGTATTTCTAGTCCTAAGTCTAATGCCGTATTATACCGTACTAAAATTTTTGAACAACCGGTGTCGACATACGCACGTACCTGATGCCCATTTATCTCGCAGTAAATAAAATAATAGTCGTTTGTACCCTTTACATTTTGATTATTAACTAACAAACTTACATGATTGGTGAGTGTCTTCTTACACTCGAGGACCGTGTGTCCCAAAAGTTTGCAGTTTGTACATTGTTTCCGTGGCTTGGAACATTTATTTGCGACATGCCCCATTTCTGCGCAATTGTAACACCTCCTCTTGTATTCTGGCTTGCCATCTGGACCCTTAGCATCATATGGAGGACCCCTCTTTCTAGCTTCGCCCCACGGAATAGATTTAGGCCTTGCACCTAAACGTAGCTTGGTGTTGTGTGGCATATCTGGCTTGATGGCAGAAGGAAGGGTCATCAAAAACTCAGCATATAATTCTTCGGGCGATTGATAGCGGCCCGCCTTAGCACCCGTTTGGATAATGTCGTCTTCAATGCCATTAATTAGGCACGACACAGCGTTTCGTTCGCTGATCCCGCAGACTCTCATCAATCCCACTTTATCAAAATAATATTTCGCCCAAGATTCATCTCTCCTTTTCTTTCTATTGAGCATTACTCGCAATAAGTGTGCGAAATCATGGTGTTCGGGAAACGAACGCAATAACAGAGCCTTCCATTCGTTCCAGTCGTAATTGTATGACGTCAAGTAGTCGTACCATGTCTTCGCGACGCCAGTGAGTCGACTCTGCATATTTTGTATGGTAACCATTTCGCTCCAGTTATTTATTTCGGCCATCTGGTCAATTTTGTCAAGCCATTTAGCCATAGTCAATTTCTGATCCGCTGGGTTAAACTCGGGGATGCACTCAGGTGACGTGCGGTATACCGAGGTGCGCGAATTATCGCGATGTACATTTTCGAGCGCGTTCATTAGTCTCGATAACTTTTCCTCAAGTGTACGGATTTTTTCATTTGTTGACTCTAGTGGGTTTACCACACGCGACCTTATGGGTGGTGTATAAGAGCGATTGTTATCAGACACCTCTAGTCTGTGCCGATGTGTTCGACGATGACGTAACCCCAATTCGTCGTCAGAATCGGAGGTTTCGTTATTTTGGTCTTGCTGACTCATAATGCACCTGGATTGCTGCGTCAACCGTCCTTCGCCCAACGAGACGTACTCCCGCAATTTTCCGCCGTGCAATACCGCTGACTCGCCAAGAGCAATCAAAAACAGTTTCCTGTGGGAACGTCTTCCCGATAGTACTGCAGGCAAAACTGTTGGGACGTTTTCCCAATTAAGGTGCAGGGACGTTTTCTCAATTAAGGTGCAGGGACGTTTTTCCAATTTACTTGTGAGGGACGTTTTCCCTAATAAAATGCAGGGACGTTTTCCCAATTTCACACACCACAGCAAGACACAAACTTGTGCAAACTTGCACAAACGCCACACGAACGGCCGATTGCGCAATAATACGCGATAATTGTTTTTTGTCAGTAACGTGCTCTAATTAGTCCGAAAAACGAGGCACTATCCCACCGCTGCTTTATTAGCGTAGGGAAATAATGGAGCATACACCACAAACTTAAAACATATATTTAATTATGTAAAACAGAAACAAGTAACTAAGCCCGCTCAGAACCACGGTCTCGTTATTATTGATACATATTTCGCGCCTTCCGATTTGCGGAGCGCCTTTGCTCGTCATCGGGTAGATGGTGGAGACTTCCGAAAGTAGCCGACAATTTGGCGGGCAAATCGAGTATTTGTAACAAAACTGCGTTTATTAAATTCTTAACAAGTCTGACAAATAAGTTGTTATCCACAAGTGAATTGCAAAATTTTTAATTCACTCTTAATATTTTTAAATCACTCACAAAAAAATAAAAAACAACTTCAGGAACATAAACATTTTGCTTATTATTTTTAATAGTTTTCACAGAATACAATTTGTTTACAATTTTCACTAAAAGGTTGCTGCAACTAAATTAGTATTGTCTGATATATTTGTTTGGCTCTGTGAGGCGTCAATTTGGGAATTGTATAAATCCCACACCAATACAATTCCAAAGAACGTTTCGGAAACTATTTACTACAGATTATTTCGATACAAGTGCAAGAACCAACTGTGAAACACTATTTTATTTGAAATGAAAAATTTGCCAAGGTGTTCTTTTAAACAAACTTCCACAACACATCTTCCTTGTATTCCGGCCTCTTCAACAGTCATTAAGTGATGTGAGTTACCGGAAACTCACCTTGAAAGAACACAACTGTTTATGGTATGTTTATGGATACTCATTAATACAAAAATTCTTACACCACCACTTCTGCGAAGTTTGTGTGAACTTTGCACATTCTTACGAAGTGACACATCTTGTTTTAATTGTGTGACATTTTAAAGTCTTCAATGAAGATGTGATTTTTGGCGATTTAATGATGCCACCTAAATATTTTGCAGTTTATACTCCGATGGGTAATACATTTTGTGAGTTTTTCCCAATTTATGCACCGTAGTCGTTAACTGGTTTGCGGCTAAAAAACGAACCATACAAAAATACCATTCCACCACCCCTGCAAAGACTTTCCTCTTGATTACCTCGTTTCAGTTTTTATTAGAGTTAGAATTTTTTACACACTAAAATTTAAAAATAAATCTTGGACCGCTCAAACACGCACACATCGAAAATTAAACTATTTCGTTTAACCTGCAGTTTGTTGACCTCTTTAGGGCCGGTTTATCAATGCTCAGTTAAAAGTGTCTGTTAAGTAACTGTCAGATAAGGGTAACTAGCAGTTAACGGAGGTAAAGTGTTTATCAATGCACGATGTTTCTTCCAGTTTCGTAGCTCGAAGTTTAGCTGTTACTCTCTTAAGTTGGTAACGCTCACCCCACTGGAAATGAGTTGTGATTGGTCAGTTCAAAACTACCCCGACCTTGAAAGTTCCATCAGATTCGATCCACATTCGGTATTCAACGATTGTATATCGCGTTTCACGTGATCAATCATGAAAAAGCAAAATTTAGCATTAGAAAAAAAGTATTGGAAATTAAAAATGAAACAACTAGGTACACCTATAAATAAATACAGAGAGATCGAAAAAGAAATTAGTCAAAGTTGGCCATGCACGAAAAGGCGTTTGTCTTAGTTTAAAATAATTTTTTATTAATCGTCACGTTGACAAAAGTAATTTGCACTGTTATCAAACGAAATTAAAGCTTTTTTGTTATTAGAATCTTCAGAAATGGGATAAATTTTAGACAAAATTGGAAAACGGTGATTTTAATTCATTCTTATGTGTTTTAAAAGTAGGCGTCATAATTCTAATTTTAAACTGTCAATTTGACATTTAATAAAAAAAAATAAATTACCCTACCACCGTGATTACGACAAACGGCTTGTCGTGCATGGCCTACTTCGATTAATTTCTTTTTCGATCTCGCGGTATTATTAGATAGGTTTTTAATTTTTGGTACCTACATTAGACCTGGAAAATAATCAGCTAATAATAAGTGTTTTTCTCATCTTTTCTCTGTCAATTTGTTGCACACCATGAGTCCTCATCAAAATATTGTTAAATTCATAACAGATTTATTTGGATTTGTTAGGTTATGTTGCCACTAACTGGTGGATAACGCTTTAACTGACAGTTTGAACTGTCAGTTAATTTAACAGGCACTTTGACCACCAGTTTTGAGCTAGCGGGTAATGATAAACAGGTTAACTCACAGACAAGCTTTAACTGCCAGTTACTTTAACTTAACTGCGCATTGATAAACCGGCCCTTAGTCGGTAATTTTCTAGTATTTTTTACATGTATCGTAAGTATCTATTACTTTGTTAAAATAAATTTTACGTTTGTTTTTAACCCCATAACCCAACATCCCGTATGATTCCGTAATTAATATGACATTTCTTGGTGACAAAACCAGACAAAACGTTCACCGAAAACCTTAAAATGAAAAAGAAACTATGTTCTTCAAGGTCGGAGCACCCTTAGAGACGCTAGTGACCTCTTTATGTCGTTCCGTAAGCTCCCCATGTATTTCTTATGGAAACAGTTGATACTTTCATAGCCCTGGCGTGAGTTTAGATTACAAAAAAGCGATGAGAGTTATGGCAGGTATTAATTCAAGAACTAGTTGAAAAAATCATTTCATTGCCGAAAAAATCATGATAGTATCTTGTAAGTTTATATATAGTACATTAATTTACGTAAAGTTACATCTCTATAATTTTACCATAATAAATGAACGTCATAGCTATAATACACGGAACATAAACACATTAGAAATTCCTAAACACGACACTTCCCTTCTTAAGAAAAGTCCAAGATACATGGGAATATGCTTATACGGGTGTCTCAGAAATAAGTACATTAATTTTAATCAGTTATAGAGCTCATTGAACTCAACAACTTTTTTTAGGAGAGTTTTGTCAAGAACTTTTTAATTGTCAAGTTAAAAATTGTTGAAGTTATACCCCAATTAAGGTCACCCGCCCATGGATCCTCAGTCACCCATGGACACTAACAATAATTATTATAATTAATAATTTATGATCAAAAATAGTTACTAGGATACGTATTTTCCTAATCTTGTCAATGTGACAAACATTTAGAGAGAAATTGAAAATTCTGCTCCCTAATGGCGTACGGAATTTCATCGGCCCAAATGTGGGTGTTGAACACCTTCCCTCGTGTAACCGACCTCATCAGTTGATGGTATAAGAGATACAAAATTTGCTTGTTCGTTTATTTTTCTATTAACCCACTGACAAAAGTTTTGCCTACGTGGTAAGTCTGTTAGTTTCAATAACTGAACTTTCTGGTCCTGAAAGGGGTACATTTGTTCTCTGAGTATCCTCCAAATACTACTCTCCGATACATCACACTAGACAGTGATACGTGCTAGTGCCCGGTCGAGCTTCGACACTCTTCGAAACAGCCTCTTCAATATTAGCAATTCTATTACTACGTAACTTACCCCGATCCTGAGGTGCAGGTTTAAAAGATCCGTACTCTCGAAAATGCTGCAACGTTCTTAAAACTGCGCACATTTGGCAGACGATTTGGGTGGTTTTCTGAAAAAAATTCGTTGGGCGCGAGTGCCGTTTCCCCGAGCTTCACCGTACGTTAAAACGATATCGGTGCATTCCAGATTTGAAAACAAAGCCATTTCAACACATTTCGTCTATAAATTAGAAATATGTGCCAAACAAACTTTAAAGAGACAACGTTTAATAAAAACATTGACATAAAAATGATTGTCAATGTCAAAACGGTTGCTACGGTACCTTCTTCATTGTTGTAGTGTTGCTATTATTTAAGTTATTATTTAAGGTGAACATAGCCGGCTCGTGAATATATGGGTGGGAAAATTCGAAATTCGACTTGAGTTTTCGAAAAAATGCTAGATAAAAAAGTTGTTCCTTTTCATGAGTTCTGTTACTGGTTAAAATTAATGTACTTATTTCTGAGACACCCTGTATAACAAATTGCCACAGCATATAAAACAACTTGATATAAAAGCATGTAAAAGAACTGTGAAAAATATCTTAACAAAGAAAGCATACTACTGTGTTAATGAGTATTTAACTGATAAAACATTTCGTTTGTAAATTATATTGTCATACAGGGTGTTTGCGAAATGCACCGACAAAAAGAAACTGAAAATTGGTCTGGATGAGTAGATATTATTAAGAAAAAAATGTTCTAATAAAAGTGTTTTAGTTTTCGAAATAAAATTGATTGAAAATTTGGTCAAAATAGCATGTTCGCTACTAAGTTAATAGTGATTAAAAGATAATGTGGTTACTAACTTTAAAACGTCAGCTTTTTCTAATGCCGAAATGACCGATATGGTCTTGATTTACGAAAGAGCATT